TTAAAAATATAATTTAATTTTTAATAAAAATATATATTCATAAACATCACAGTTTGTAAGAACTTACTATATCTTTAATACTTTTTTCATATTTTTTTTTTTCAGATAATTGAATTTTGTCTTGTTCTTCATCTTTTTCTTCTAAGGGCATTAAAGTAATATCATAATTTGCTCTGTTTTCTCCTAAAATTCCTACTTTTATTCCCAATTCATGTAATTTATCTTCTTCAATAATAAGAGCATATTTTAAATAAAGAATACGTTCATCATCATAATTTTCTTCTATTCCTGTAAATTATATTGTATTATTTCTCTTTCCTTTTTTTTTTTAAAAAAGAAATATATAGAAAAAGATAATACCCAAAGATAGAAGACGATAATCATAATCTGAATATATTAATTCTTGTATTAAAGGAGAATTTCTTAGTAATTTTCTTTTTTCTTGTATTTTATGACCTTGCAATATTATAATATCATCATATAACATATCCTGAATAGTATGGCTTATACTTCGTCTTTCTGCTATATTATATGTTTCAGTTCTAAATAATCTATGCAATTCTATTTCTAAAATAAATATTCTAATCTTTATCTTATTATTATTTTATTCTTTATAAATATTTTAAAATATTATTTTATTATAATCTTTATTTACCAATTAAACTAAAATATTTGCGTTCTAAAGCTATCCATACAATACGATGTGTCATACAAATTAGTACTTCAAATATTCGTAAATCTTTCTCTCCTTGTGATTGTGTCAAAGATGTTCCTTTTTTTCCACCTGTCATATGATGATATTGAATAATATCTTGACATCCTATTATTAAATCAGCATATTCTCTACCTAAAACACAACGAAGATTTTGCATTTCTTCTGCATATCTAAATCTATAACCCTGAGCCAAAGGATTTGGTGCTTTTTTTATAGTAGCTGCACGTTCCTTCATTAATTCTTCCCATATTATCACATAATATTGAAAATAAAGTATTGCAGCTCTTAAAAAACGATCAACAATTGGTAAATGGAAAAAATTTATAAACTGAGGACTTATGGGACTGATCAATAAAAACATTACAAGATCTTTTATATCTTGTAAAATAATGACATCTGGTTCACTTGGAGATACTTTTCTTAAATAATATCTTCTAAATCGTAACTGAAATATATATTTAAAAAATATAAAAATTAAAAATATAAATGAATCATTTATTTTCTGGTATTTACCTTTTCACGTTGACTTAAAGTTTCTTGAAAATTTAAAATTAAATATGCATGTGGACAATACACCTTTGATTGGTAAACAGGATCAGATTTTTGTTTAATTTTTTTAACGTGTTCATCTTCGGTCTTTTGTGTACTTGTATATTTAAATACAAAAAAAAATTATAATTGTAATAAATATTTGTCATATTTCGTTGATGAATAGATTATAATTTGTACAAATGTAATTTATATAAATATATATTTTAATTGTTAAAATTTATTACCTTATTAAAATTAATCCATCAGAAATTTCATCCCATGCAAAGTATCTATCTTCCATTTTTAAATATTAGAATAATAACATTTTATTCGTAATAATTGAATTAGTAAAAAGATAGGTTAATTAATTAATTAAAAAGCAAATCACTATTCAGTGTTGCATAAGTTAATTATTAATTGCATATATGTATATGTATTTCTTCTTTTATAAATATAAGTATAGTTTTAAAAACTGATTAATATTATGAATGATGTTATATATGAATGTAATATATAAAATATTTAGAAAAAGGTAAAGAAGATAATAATTATTCAAAATTATTTTCTTTACACTTTATATTCATTTTTATATTCATAAAAATTGATATATGTAAAAATTCATATATCTGTGAAAATAATTATGAAATTATATATTAATTACAATTTATTTTTTCATTATATTATTAGAATATAGATATAGAATATATATTATTAGAATATAGATATAAAGATATTTTATATGTATTTTAATATTATTAAATTTATAAAATAATATTAAAATTTTTTTAGGTTTTCAAAAAAATAAAATTTTATTGATCATGATATTTTTATAATAATACAATTATTTATTATTCATTTATTTACATCATTAGTTTCAAAACTAGCTAAACGATGTTTTGGAAGGGAATTTAATATTGGTTGATCTTCTGGGAAAATTGCTATGTTTTTTAATTGATAAAATGGTACATCATACTTAATTTGCTTTTTTGGATCTGAAGTAAAATGATGTATTTTACATCTAACTTTAACTTCTTCATGATTATTGATTTTAACAAGAATATAAAATTCCTTATTTTCAATAGATAGATTTGGTCCAGATATAGTCTTATCTGGAAGAATTATAGCATCTTCAGGTACAATATATCCTAATTTTCGAAACGATACTCTCACATGCCATTTTTCTATAATCCATGGAATATCCATGGACATTGATAATGATAAATAACACACAGACAATACATTCATTGTTCTTTCAACAAATTGAGAACTATACATAGATAACTTCTTCTTTTTATCTTGATCTTTAATTAAATATTTTTCTAGATTTTCAGGTGTTGCATATACAGCTAATTTGGGCAGTATCAAAGTTTCATAAGCCTTTTGAGAAGACACTGAGACTTTCTCACCTTTTTCACCAATCTTTTTTACATTTTCTAGCAAGACAATATCAATTTTTTTTTGTGGTTTAACATTTGTATCTTCTACGAGCTCATAAATGAAATGTTTATGTTTTAGCTTTGCACGTGTCTCATATTTTTTATAAAGAGGCACTGGATATTTTCTTTTTAAAATAAATGTATTCTAAAATAACAAATAATAATTATTTATTTCAATATTTAATTTTATACTAATTTAATACAAATTAACACTAAATATTACCCGACTTTGTTGCATTAATATATTATTCTGATGCGAAAAAAGTGTTGATCGTGATTTTAAATAATTTTTATACAATTGTGTATACTTTAACATATTTATTTCTTTGTTGAATACAATTATACAATTAAAAAACATATTGTATAGGAATCAATATTAAACTATAGTGAAGTTGTTTCAGGTTAGGTTAGGAATACTATTATACTTTTTGTGTATACATTACTTAAATTGTACTCGATATGTACAATTTGAAATTATTGAATTAAAGATTATTTTGATATTATTATTGAAATATATAATATGTTTTTATACATATATTAAAAAAAAATAAAAAAAAATTAAATACTTTAATAACTTATCTGTTTTTTATAAATAAAATTGAATTTATTTTTTAAAACTATATAATCTATATAATTTATATAATAATATAACCTGATCAAATTATATTTGAAAAGAATAAATAACTTCTAACAATGGAAACATTGAATTCACCGTCAGATAAAGTTTTATATCAAGCTATTATGGAAATTAAAGAGCCAGTGATATTTCAACGACTCTTACAAAATGCAAAAGATGATTATTGTTGGAAATTATTTGAATGGAATTTATCGGAACTTGCTGAAAAATTCGGAGATATTAAATTACCATTTCGAATTGGCTATAATGCTAGATCTACGGTAAATTGCTATTGCTATTTTATTTATCTTATTTGTACTTTTTTTTATATTTTTATATTATTTTATATTTATATTTATTATTATAATATTAATTTAATTTAATTTTTTATTATAATATTAATTTAATTTAAAAATTTCATATGTTTCAGAATCCACAATGGGAAGTAAATTGTCCAACAGTTTTAATGACATTATTAGAATTTATTCAAAATATGAACCTCCATGAAAATCATAAAAAGTGGTATTATTTTGATTATAAATATATGCAAGAATGGTTCAAAAATAAGCCAGAAATATTAAATTCAGTAAATTGGAAAAGATTTGATATTGATAAAACTGGTGATGATTCTACTATTTGGATTGGAAGCAAAGGAGCTCATACAAATTGTCATCAGGATTCTTATGGTTGTAATTTAGTAGCTCAAATACATGGAAGGTTAATTTTATAAATAAAAAGAAAAATAAAATCAAAAAATAAATAATACAAAAATAAGATTGTTTAATGATATATTTCTTTTTTTTAGGAAACAATGGTTATTGTTTCCTCCAAATTCAACTAACTTTCTTCGACCAACAAGGATTCCTTATGAAGAATCTACAATATATAGTAAATATAACTTTTTCTGTCCTACTAAGGAAGATGAGACTAATATATTAAAAATAAAAGATACAGCAAAACTAGTAACTTTAGAACCAGGAGATATATTATTTGTACCTCCTGGTTGGTGGCATTATGTTGAATCATTGGACTTTAGTATTAGTGTCAATATGTGGCTACCAGTATTAACAGATAATATATCAAGAGTTAAAGAAGCTATTGTTAAATTAATAGTAGCTAAAATTGGAAAAGATATCTATAATATACCTGAAATTAATGAAATAGATAGTATAAATTTGGTAATGTATAATAAATATTTATTAGTAGTAATGTTAAATTATATTGATGTTATATAAATATTAAAGATTAAAATTAATTTATTTTAACAGCTCAATATTGCTATTGAAGAATGTAAACATATAGAAAACGTAGAATCACCCGATAAAAAAATAAAACATAGTACATGGACTGCCAAAGATTTAGCAATAGAGTATCCAGTTTATGTAAAATTACCTTATGAGCTTAAAATAACAGAATTAGAAGAATTTTTGAAAATGAAAAGGGAAAGATTTTCTGAAGAATATTTTGAAATGTTAAAAGAGGATTCTTCCAAAACTCATATTAATCTACAGAATATTTACTCTTCTGCTCAATATTTATCTGAAAATATTATCAATGCATTTTGTCATCCTGATGTAGTTAATAAAGTTACAGAATTATTTCTATCCTAATATTTATATAGTATATTGTGTAATTTTCAATTTGTTTACATAAATTATTATCAATTTTTTTCATTATTTAATATTATTATTAATATTGAATTCGTTTATTTTAAATAATTAAAACTTAATTTTATATTCATTTGATATTCATTTGATGTTACATTCAATTTTATTATTTTATATAGAGGTTAAGATTGACTAGTTGCATAATTATATTTATATATTCTGGAACTAACATAGATAATGCGTGTATAAAATTGTAATTAGTGATATTTCTGTAATTAATAATGGGTCTGTTAACAGTACTTAAAAAATTAAAACAAAAGGAAAAAGAAATGCGCATTTTAATGTTGTACGTATCTTTTTTTTTATATATCTTTCAATATTTATAGGTTAAGAATATATTATTGTATTAAGTTAGTATATTTTTTTCACAAAATTGCATATATATTGCATTTATGCATGTATATCTATATTATTTATTTTAATGATTTTTTTATATATGTTATAACAATATAATTATATTTAATATAATATATATATATTGATATATAATTATTGTTTCTTTTATATATATTTTGATTGTTTTATATATTTTATATGTTTATAGAGGTTTGGATAATGCTGGTAAAACAACAGTTTTAAAAAGAATTAATGGAGAACCAATTGACACAATATCACCAACACTTGGTTTCAATATTAAAACTTTAGAACATCGTGGATATAAATTAAATATATGGGACGTAGGTGGTCAAAAATCATTGCGTTCTTATTGGAGAAATTATTTTGAATCTACTGATGGTCTTGTATGGGTAATTGATAGTGCAGATAGAAGAAGATTGGAAGATTGTAAAATAGAATTATATAAACTCTTGCAAGAGGAGAGATTAGAAGGTGCAAGTTTATTAATACTTGCAAATAAACAGGATTTACCTGGAGCATTATCTGCATCTGATATTGCAGAAATTTTAGAATTACCTAATATTAAGACTCATCATTGGCAAATATATAAATGTTCAGCAATTACAGGAGAAAATCTTGTAGAAGGAATAAATTGGATTGTTGATGATATTTCTGCTAGGATATTTTATATAGATTAATATTAAAAAAGAAATTAAATTTTACAACTTACATTGCTAATATTATAATGTTTTATAATACAATATGTTTATTTCTTATATATTAGAAAGCAGAGTTATTATATAATTATACTTTATTTAAACTATTAAAATTAAGATATTATAAATAAACTATAAAATTCTTTTTCATAGATTCTCTTCCTCCTTAGTTTCTTTTATTTTTTCTTTTTTAATTTTTCTTTTTTTACTTTTGATTTTTTTAGGTTTTTCTGTTGGAAGTTTTGTATTCGGATATTGTTTCATATAAACAGATTTTAATAAGCCTTGATCGACTGTATTTTTTATACCAGTAAATGCAATCATTAGTTCATTTAATAAAGATTTAGATAAGATTAATTGGAAATTTTGCACTAGTTCTAAAAACTTTCCTGTAATATTAATTTTAATTTAATAAAAGTAAGTACTATATTGTTTTTATTTTCATATACCTTTTGAAATGAGATCATCAGAAAGTGATAACACAAAATGACCAAAGTTTTTACGACGTCGTTTTTTCTTTGGTCTCATGGCTTCATAATTGGCTCTTTTTAAAAGTATTGCTTTTACATCTGGACCTTCAATTTTATAGTTACTAAATATACCTCCCAACTTAATGTCGACCCATGGTTTATTATTTTGAATTGTTTCAAGTTCTGGTATTATGTTCTTGTTTGCCCAGATATTCGTAAGATCTAAAATACGTAGCTGACTTTCTGACGATTTCTCTGGCGTAATTGCTTTAACGAGAGCAAATGCACCATCAGCTTTGAAAGGATTGTCACCTATATATAGCTCCTCGAGTGTTGCATTCCTTGATAATGCTCTTGCGATGACAGTTACATCATCATTAGTAAAACGATTTCCTGAATATAAAAGCAATATGAGATATAAAGGAGACATTTGATTATTTATTAAATATCAATGTTCATTATGTTATATTTTAATAAGAAATGAAAAAATATCAATACTAAAAAAAATCTTAATAAATATTTGATTTTTATCTTTATGTTACCATTCAGATGCAATTTTTTTAATGTTGAAGATCGCAATAATAATCGACGCAAATACGAAATACATTCTTTTCCTAAAGCGTTCCAAGATAAATCAAGATCGAGTAAAGTTTCATTTTCCTCGAGTCCTCTAATAAATTTCTTCCAAGTTTCTGTTGTGTATAAGGAATTCCAAGATAATTCTAAATGTTTTATTGTCTTTGAACAACTGACTAATTTTTGCAAAGCATCTGAACACGATTCGTCGAGATGATTGTGATTCAATAAAAGAGTTTCAATGCTTTCATTATTGCAAATTGCCTGTATAAGATAGTCAATACCTTCTTTACGTAAATTACAATCGGAAAGATCTAATTTTTTCAGTGTTTCATTCATAAAAATTCCATCATATAATTTCGCAACACCGTTTGCACCGATTTTACATCCTGATAATAACAAAGTGTGTATTATATTGTTTTTTAAAAACAGTTCATTTAAATGATAACAGGCATCCTCTGATAACCAATTACCCTGTAAAACAATTATTTAATACAAAAATTTTAAGAATTTTTTGTTTTTTTCTTTTTTCTTTATTAATTAAGTTCTGAAAATTAAGTAATATTAAATAAAATAAGAAAATATCAAATTACTGTAAGATTGATCGTATTCACAGTAGGATTTTTCATCAAAGCTTCACATAAGGGTTTAATGATACGGGAATTGAGTCCGTAATATTGTAAATTGATTTTATTAGTTTGTAACATGTCTTCCATTGCTTGTATAGGTCTCATATAGGATGCTTTAACTAAATCGAAAAATTTCATTATACCGTCGTCTGTGTAAGAAGGTCGACGTTCCTGAATGGTCCAGAAAGCTGGTATCAAACCAGGATCATCAGGGATTGGAAACATTGTATAAAGATTTTGCAATTTCAATCGAGAATCACTGATATCTATGTCTTTAAGACAAGGATGAATGGAACTTTCTACAGACAATTCTTCAGAAACGATGGATTCTTCTTCTGAGGTGATCAGTGTTTCTTCCGATACATCTTTTTCTTTTTTTATATCTATAGATTTAACATTAAATACTCATTCTTATATTTTTTTGCACATGATGATATCCTTTTTCTTTAAGTTAGGTTTACCAAAATAATATTACACCAATCACTTTTCGTAGCTCTTCTTCTTCGATTTTTTCCTCGGCCATATCTTCAAATTCCATTAAAAAATCTTCAAAAATGTCCAGTTCTTCTTTGATTTCTTCTTTTTCTTCTTCTTCATCTTCCAGAAATTCCCATTCTTTCTTATTCCATTCTTCTTCATAGTCTAAATAATAATTTGATACATCTTTGGGTTCAATTATTTTCTAAAATGCAAATATCACATGATAAATTCAAAAATTAATTGAAAAAAAAGAAAAAAAGATTATAAAATTACTTCGGATTTTTTTAAAGGATCCATTTTTTTTATCTTCAATTAATTAAACTTTTTAATTAATTTTTTTCAATTTATTTATTACCAATAATTTATTTAATATTTTTATAATATAAATTATCACAACTAACAATAACATCGAATTCTTCCATTGAATAATTCTAGTTAATTATAAATATTTCCTAAAAAAATCAGATTTCTTTTCCAGAATTAATTTTATCCTGAAATTTGTCATTTTTCCATAATCTCATGCTACTTTTTTTTCAGATCAAAAAAGATAATTAATTATTTTCTTCATTTGCAACAACATTCATTTTCCTTGGTCAGGTGTGATTTCAGATATCAAATATGTTTGATCGTGTTCAAATAACTCTACGATGTAGTTATTTTTAAATACCTGGAATAACATATTCACAAAATGTTTAAACACGTTTCACATTTTTCTCGTTATTAGAGAGTAACTTTTTTGATGTTATTGCGCTTTCTCAAGGTATATCCCGTATTTATCGTCATGAAGATGCTCTTAGATGCCCGTGGTTCACACGGATCTTATTCGGCCAAGCAGCTAGGCTGACTCATTTACCGGGTATTCGTCAAGTGGCTCTTCTGAGCTATTGTATTGTAATTTCGGCAAGTCGTTCATTCAACAGTCACGCGGTTATATACGCGGCTCATGTATCGTGGTCAAAATCGCCCTCGATGATCGCCCGATCCTCTTCTCTCACAAAATTGCCTACACACGCGGTCTTTGTTAATCTCAGACGCGCTTTCGATGGTAATGAACACCGTATTGTACTCGATAAAATGATCTATTTAAATCCGTGCTTGGTTTTGTTGACGAGATCCGGATCCGTCGACCGTCGGCATCGTTTGCCGGCTATATTAATTTTAGAACGAGTTTTAGAGTTATTCGGGATTATTCGAGAAATAATAATCGACACGTAAGATATTTTTATTAATTATTATTATGTATTTTTTATATTTGTTGAGTGTACGTAATATAGTTTTCTCGTAAACGCATAATTTTTTGGATTATATTAAATACAAAAAGAATGAATTTGAAATTTTTTGACGAATGAAATATGAATAAAATACCGGAATTCTGTATAATAAATAAATAGAATCAAATATTCAAGGGATTCAAGATATCTTTTTCCATTTACAATTAATGATAAATTTTAATTTTTATCCTTTTTTGTTACAATCATGATCAATCTCTAAATAAATTTTGATACCCTTGCTATTGGCGCACGCAAACGAATAAATAAAATAATTATTAAAATTCCGTATTTATTATCATTATTTTATGCGAATATTATTCGACACCGTTCATCATAAATAAAAATGTATTCAATCTAGCGTTGCTCGTTCTGTTTCTCATCGTTGGACTGTGCCAGTTGCTCCCGGAAGGCACGTCTACCTACGATTCTGCATTCCCGGTGATTTGAATGCAACTTGGACATCGACTCGGGTTCTTACCACGTGAGAGAATTCGTTCGGCCTGTTACTGTTCGGGTGCAATAAACCAGAAGTAAAAACGAAACGGTGTCATAAGGATTGTACTTTTTATTGAAATTTCTTCATCATTATCATCATCATCATCATCATCATCATTATCGTCAACATCATTATTATCATTATCATGTCGTTGTCGTTGTCATAGTCATCGTCGTCGTCGTAGTCGTTGTTGGCGGTAAAATTAGGCGGAAAAAAAGAAATTGTGGGACCGGAAGGAGCTTAACTTTATTTACACGCACTCACTCACGCTTCTTTCGCGATTATTTGACACGGGATTGATCACAACGCGTGGATTATCCATTAGCTATCTAAATTGGAGACCAGGGACGATAATTCGTTGAATTATCGAAGAAGAAAATAAAAAATGTTCACGAGATCGTTATGATCGATCGATCGTATAATATAGTATAGTTTTGATTAGAACTATTGTCCATGATCTCTCAACAATTAAAATACAAGGCAATAAAATATAAAAAATAATATAATATAATATAAAATAATATAATATATATATATATATATTTTTTTTTTCTTCATCGCTTCTATATATTTTGTATAATATAGATTTCTTTATAAAATAAACTATCTGTTATAAAAAATTTCTTCCGCTATCATCTTACAATACGCTCAATACGGTCTCTTTCTCGTTTAAAGTCTAGTAATACGCGCGTTTCATGCGCTTGTCGTTGCGCGTCGCCTTATGCTTGGAACGATATTAAGAGAAAAGGGGAGAAAGAAAAAAAAAAAAAAAAAAAAAAATAAAATAAAATTGCACATCTAACAGAGGGAAGAAAGGAGGGAATAAGATAAAATACAATCCAAAGTGGGACGGGGAATTATCTGGATCTATGTAATGGGTTTATTATTTACATCATACAACGTTTCGATCACGCGAATGGCTATGCCATGTGTCGCATCTTATCGATTCCTACACGCTCCCTTCACCCTCTACGCAGGAAAAATAAAAAAGAATACTTCCTTTTCATTATAGATCGACTCGTGGATACGACGATACATCCCATGAATAATTAATTAATTTTTGTGCAATTAAATCACGGATCGCAATGATAGAATCGTGCGTAATTCTACTGATTACTACGGCAAACGGATGCAAACCGTTGCAAACTTAGTTAGCAAACCAAATTGAAGATTTTTCTTAACACGTTATCGTTATTAATCGTGATTCACGATTTTTCCAAGAGGGCGCTACGAGGGACCCGATAAATCTTATCGCGCGATAATATTCTCTCTCGCATTCTTTTTCTCTCGTTCGCTTTATGAGTATCACAATAATATCGCCCGACGGAGCGTCCGAAGCCTGCTTTCGCGCAGATTAATTCGCCTACGTGCTATTATAGCTCTACAATATCTACGGTGGCCTGCAACGCCGTCACTTGGCCCGTGTTCTCAGCTTCGGATCATAGGGGAATGTTTAGGATTGTAACGCGAATAAAACGTCGATAGATCAGATCTTAAGGCTGTCCGTAAGGGACGACGGCATTTAGAGGTGATACAGGCTTAGCGAAATTAATAAGTACGGGCTATGTACATATGTACAGTACGATAAAACAACTCGGCAACTTGTCGATACATAATTGTAGACCGTCAATTATTGTCGTTGCGTTATTAGCGAGAGATATATTGGAGAAAGGTAGAGAATGATGTTTTCTCGTTTAATGAATCAATTTTGTTGAAATGATCGATTTTTGATTATAAATCAATACTAATATCGTCAATAAAATAACGTTAAAATAATTCTCCTCTTTCTCTATCTTCCTACATTCTATAATATCTCCCTTGTTTTCGTATCAATTCGCAGAAGGAAAAAGGGTTTGAAGTAAAACGCGGTTTCGAGGTTTCTTAATTTTTAGCGGATAAAAAAAGGCAGCGCGTTATTTTTCGCAATTTCATTTTCTAAAGTAAGCGATATCCGTTGAATCGTGTATTATTAATTCTTCAGTCTGTTCGTTGCAATTAATCGTTGCGGAAACACTTGGTACAGCGAGTCCGATAATTCCGTTTCACCACGTTTTCGTGTCCCTTTCTCGCAAGTGTTTTTTTCCGAGTGAAATTTTTCACGAAACATCCGCGAGTCTGTCGCGTTACACGTGTACCGTCAGTACTTGATGCGGTCCCGATGTCTGACTGCTGCTCGCTTGCTGAGAATACGTCGGCTCCTGCAATCTAGGTTTGCTGTACGGTTTATGAGGCCCTTCCTCGTACGTAAAACTAGCGGTATTGTTCCTGGCTTCCGCGCTGGGAGCTTTGTAAAGTGGTGGCAACCGATGTCTACTCTCGTCCGAGACCATTTCCAAACTCTCTTCGGTTGCACCCAGCGCGCCCAACGAAGTTCCAGACAGAGGTCTCACCACGGACACTCTTGGTTCTCCTTGATCCTGCTCTTTCAAAGGGTTCGCGTATCTCCTAAGATTCTCCTCGTTTTGAAGATTGTTCGATTTTTCGTCCAAATCGCTGCGGTGTCGATGCAACGATGTCTCGCTGCTGGTCGTCGCGGTCAGGCTGGATCTTTGCCTGACCGTTCGAAGATACCACAGCCCACCGAACAAAGCCAAGACCAAAACGGTCGCCAGAGCTCCACCGAGGACGGCCACGTAGCTCCCCGCGCTGCTCGAGTTTACGGAACTCGGTTCGCTGAGCAAGGCCGTCTCCACTTTGACCTCGAGCACGGAGGCCAGAGCGAGTGGTCTGCCCAGGGGTCTGCTAAGGGCTTCGCCTAGATCTCTGGCCGCATCCGCGGCTGCTTCCGAGAATATGGTCACTTCCACTGTATCGTTATCACCAGGTTTAAGATCGCAAAGAAGAACGATTGACTGTGGCCTTCTCGGATCGGACAGCAGTTTTCTCAACCGTCTACAGAGGATTTCTACCGATGTACTGGCGGCCAGAGTGTCTCTTCTTAACAGGATGGTGAGCCTGGAACAGGTTGGGCCCGGCGT